TTAAAGTGACAAATAAATTAAATAAATGGAAAATGTTTAAGGAAATGCTAAACTCATCCTATTTAGTTTCCTTTGATCACTCATTTATTTCTGAATGTAGTTCCACATTTATTTTTCCTCTGCGCAACATGCTAATGAGAGGGCGTCAACCATGGACTTGGTCGGGGTCATGTGATAGTCAAGTCAAGTCTGCTTTATTGTCAGTTCTTCCACATGTACTGCACATACACACAGAGAATTGAAATTGCGTTACTCTCAGACCCTTGGTGCATACAGATAACACTAACAGTAGAACATAAAAATACAAATATACAAATAAGGTAAAATGTAAACAAATATAAAAAATATATATATAAAGCAGCACAAGGCAAATGCTAGATAGAGTGCAAACCAGTGAAGTAACAACAGTGCAGATATAATGATTAGTAGTGCAAAAGAGCTTATTCAGACTGATTAAAGTGACAGTGTGGGTGTGTATTAGGGAGGGGGGAGGGGGAGAGTCCGTCAGGGTTCAGGGGTGCGTGGGGCAAAAGAGGAGAGGGGGGGCAAGGTCGGGAGGGAGTTCAGCTTCCTGACAGCCTGATGGATGAAGCTGTCCTTCAGTCTGCTGGTCCTGGCCTGGAGACTCCGCAGTCTCCTCCCTGATGGCAGCAGACTAAAGAAGCTGTGTGTTGGGTGGGTGGGATCACCTGCAATGCAGAGGGCTTTGCGGGTGAGACGGGTGTTGTAAATGTCCTGGAGGGAGGGGAGAGAGGCACCAACGATCTTCTCAGCTGCTCTCACTATGCGTTGAAGTGTCTTGCGGCAGGATGCGTTGCAGGCACCATACCACACAGTGATGCAGCTCGTCAGAATGCTCTCGATGGTGCCTCTGTAGAAGGTGCACAAGATGGGGGCCGGGGCTCTGGCTCTTCTTAGTGATAGCTGGGGGCTTGGCTTTCCCTCTGACAGGAGATGCATGGTGTTAATCCAGTATAGCCTACGTAAAGTCACTTTTTCCGTTTAACAGAGCAAGATACATAAAAAACTGAGCTGTAATGTCTGTACAGTATCTGTGACTTTACAAACGACCCAAAGAAATGGCCAGT